ATCAACTCGTCGCACTATCGGGTAACCGTTGGATCCTGTCTCTTATACACATCTAGAGAGAGAGAGAGAGAGAGAGAGAGAGAGAGAGAGAGAGAGAGAGAGATTGCCTAAACACCCCCAATTCTGATTAGCTGCAGTGAAACCACAAAAACAGGCATCCAGAGGAACAACAGTGTTCCTACTTTTCCAGAGACTCGGCAGGTCAGCATCCAACTCAGATTTTGTAAGAAGATCCAGCGAACATAACTTTACTGGGATAAAATTTGACTGTACAGGAGCCTGGACAGTTTCCACTGGTTCAGCAAGCAGTTCTCATAAGAAGATCCAGCGAACATAACTTTACTGGGATAAAATTTGACCTTGTGGACTCAGAACCGTAAGCTACGGAATTCAAACTCAGAAACTGCAGACTGACTGCAAACACCGAGATTCCGACCCAGAGTTGTCGACTCAGCTGCTGATTGCCAAAGTTGTAGACTCAGGGCACTACTCTGTGGTTGATCGAACGGATGAAGACTCGAAGAGCGAGACTTGTGAGATTTTTCAGTTCATATTTCAATTTGGGGTTTTTTGGTACCATATTTTGATCTGCCTCGATGTCGATTAGGAATTCCTTATTAAGTCTTTCACTCCTCGAATACAATGGTATTTTTCTTATATACCAGGCAAATATTTGACTCTTACCTCATCCAACCATAACAATAGAGTGCTCTTGTAAATTACGGCCTTCTCCCGGAATGTCTGCAAAAATCTGCGTGCCTGATCACACAACCGATTCCACAAATGCGGACTCGAGCGAGGTATGCAGCAGCAGATTGACTCAGAAATGCTGCTGACTTACAGTTTTTGTGATGAGTTCCCAGTCTCGGGCGGAATTGGCACCTTTCTGATCGCAGTTTTCGGATACAACAAATTTCCTGTCTCGATCCGGACTGCCGTTTCAAGGTAACGGTTGCGGTCGACCGCCGACTACCATTCACACACACTGAGAGTTCAAAAAGTAGCTCCCTAGGGTGGACAGCAATCTACCGCCCGTAACACGGAGTCTAGAAACGGTACCTCGATCGAATCTATGTGTGGTTAGACTGACTGACTGACTACTGGTGGATCTGATAACCATAGAATGACTTTCTCTATAAACATTTCCGTTCTTTCATTTTCCCAGATACTTCTTGACTCTGCTTCTTGGTTATTAGTACCTTTTTTTTTTTTTCACTTTTCTGAGGTT